GCACATTCTTGTCCTATGCATGGCTGGCTCCTCACCTATAAATAAAATAGTTGTGATATTAGGAAATGTTAGATAACCAACAATGCGTTTCAATATTATTATCTGTTATAAAGTAAGTAATAATCACCTGCACTTGCATCCTAGGCTTGTGTAGTGGGAAGTCATCCTCATCTGACCAAGCCTGGCGTGTTTGCTTAACGTAAGCCATGGCATGCACCTTCACCATGGAGTGGTCCACTAGCTTGTCCATGTATTCCTGTGGTGTGACATGCAACTTCAGTACTTCACGCTGTCCTGCGCGTACAATGAACTCTCCTTGAGCCCTTCGCAGTCGCGAAGCAATGGCGCCAGTATAGTAGCATGACGAAGCCGTCAAGACGCACCAGATGGTGCGATCTTCATGCGATTTATTCTGTAACAACAATTATTAAAATCAGTAATGTCAAACATTAAACCTAAATAAAGACATATTCAATGTATATCGACCAATCAGTACCTGAATGTTCATCGTGCAATCAAACGGCTGTCCATAAGGCACGAGGTCAATGTCCATAAGATCGAAGTAAACGTCTTCGAAATTGCGATCTGGGTATTCGTAATACTGCTGCAAACGTTGGTAACCGCGGCAAGAAGCAATAACAGCCAAACGTTCTGGAGACGAGCTGTCAACCGTCTTATACTCATGTGTGATCTCCAGCATATCACTGTCACCTTCATCGTCGTCACGGTTCGGGTTCTTGGTAAGAATCTTGCGGCCAACTCTGTAAAAGGCAGGTGAGATATTTAATGCTAGTCATATTAGGTGAAGTTTAATAATGTATAATTTAATTTGTACTCACTGGTACTGGTTCGAAGCCATCCTAATGAAACCCCATTCAGAATTCTCCTCTTCTTGGAAGTGGCAGAGTTCTGCGTTGAGCTGACAATACATGAAGGGCGTATCATATTGGAAGCCGACCTCTCCGCGGCGCACCGCCTCAACACTAGCCGGACCGCAGTGATACACAGCTTCAGCTTCCTCTTGGGGTGTGGAATCGATGATCTGCCAGCCACTGTAGCCTGTATTATACAACAATAAATAAGCAATCATAACTGTTATAGTTTCTTTAGAGATTTATAATCGTATTCCATATTCCTGTTTACCTTGAGGCAAATCAGGTCGCTGCATCCATACATCGTTCCATACGTGGAAGTTCCAGCAGGAATCGTAGCAATCTTCGTCCGGTCCATTTGGTACTTCGTTGCCATCACGATCGAAGTATTTGTCAACTGTAAAGGTCCTGTTCGTGTCATGGGCTGACACGTAGTTGGTAACAGAACGACAAGGAATACCTGAAAATCATAACCGTTTAATAAGCGCCTAGTTTTCCTTTGGTTTGGTTTGGTTCAATTGTAAAAAATACAGTACCAAGAGCACGGCAAATTGAAACCACAAGGCCAGAGTACACCCAGCATTGACCATACTCGACTGGCCTGCCGCCGTCGGTGAGGTAACGCTCCATGATAGCCACGGAGCCAGTCCAAGCATGCGGTGCAACGCCATCTTTGTATTCGCCATCGTAACGGCCAACCATCAGGCCATCATCGTCGTGGTTTGCATTTATCTACAAAAAAAAAGAAATGTATGACCCTTTCCTCATAAATTTCTTTATGTAAAACTACGTGTTTGGATAACTTACCATCGACGAAATAGCTCTGCAAACCCGAATCGGATTACCTCGTTCTGAATGCTCAAGACCACTTCGTTCCAACAAGTACATACAAGCAGGCAACACCACGTCATCAAATTGTCCATAAATCCATTTGCGACCCTTCGGTTGACGCCAAGTGCCACACCAGATCTTTCCTTGCTCGTTGAGCACGTATTCCTTCCTTGATGATTCGTTGTCCATGTAGACGGGGTCCTCACGACACCAAGGATTGAATAACATGTAGATGTCTTCATCGCATTTGTAATCGTGACGGTTATCGCGCTGGCCAAACCGATTAGTTTGAACCCAGCAGTTCCATACTCCGACGGGAGCAGTAGCTGGTACGTGAACTTGGAAGGTAATCGTGTTGCCATCTTGACGCTGAATGCTAATATCCCACCTGTCCATGTCATGAGCAAGAGACGCCAAATTCTGCATAGAGCCGTGACGTGAACCATACCCACGACCAAATGTCGAATGCTGCCCTGTTCCTCCATAACGATCCATCATCGGACGATCCATAGGTCCATGAGGACTAAGAGGACTATGCTGCAATGGCAATGGCTCATTGCTAAATGAACTGCGGCGGACACCATATGTCGTAGTCTCTCTCATACCGCTCATGGGACCCATAGAACCCATTGTTCCCATAGATCCCATAGTTCCCATTGGTCCCATGTTGCCCATAGTACTCATCGTTCCCATAGATCCCATAGGAGCCATGCTAGTACTTGTATCTTGCATTCGAGACATTCCCATTCCCAGACCCATGCCCATCATGTCACGAGAATGTTGGAATACTCCTTGTTGGTTGCTCCAGTTCACAGGCAAAACGACACGAGTTCCTTTGGTAACGCTTGGCTTTGGACCTGTAAAACATATGTCATAAGCAGAAAATGTTTGCGAATCATGATATTTTTTTACTAAAGACGTAATAAGACTTTCTTACCAAAGCAGAAAACGATGCGGATCATGTCCTGTTGTTTGTCGTAGGTCCTGTCGAACCGAACAGCAAAGAAGAAGTTTTGACCTCTCCTGAGAACCGGGTTCGGAAGAATGTTATCGTTCACCAAGTCATATTGTTCAGTGTGATGGTCTTTGGAGTTGTCTCGAGAGTAGAATTCAGTGAGCTCTACCTTGAGTGGCTGCTGCGAATAATAGCTTTGAGGAATCATCTCCATAGTATCCTGACGGCGTCGACGTTCATTTTGGTCAGCCATTTTGCAAATCAAGTTATGTGTGTACTGCGTGTTAGGGCTGTTTCTCATCGAATACTTCATACGGTGTAGCGAACCAGTGCTATGAGAGCGGCCCGGACGATGTTGAGCTGTAGGCCCAGCACGCTGCATCGGCCAACGACGTGTTTGTCCAGGACGTTGGCAGAAGCTAGAGATGTTATAGTAGGCAGACAACCCTGGAACATAGTTCGAAGGCATTCCACCAATCGTCATCTGCTGCTCCCTCATGCAACTCAGCGTACTCATGCCCGATGTCAGTCCAGTTATTCCACCCAAGCCCATTCCAGTCATGCTGGACGTCATGCTTGAGGACATTCTGTCCATACTAGAACGCCTGACCATAGACATCCTTGCGTAGATGCTGTACGTGTATCCAAGACTTCCAAGTCCCGCTAAAGGACCTCACTGTGCTCCGGGATGAGACCGCAGAGCGAATGATGTCGTTGGTAAGTTTTGGGACCTTTTTATAGGGCTAGTTAACCTAAAGGATCGTTCACCGCCCTTAGGTATCAGTTGACAACAGAGGCGCCAGAATCCCTAGCTCCTAGGAGTGCTATTGTTTATGTTCACTGACTCGTGGGTAAAACAAGTACACTTCTCTTACAAAGAACTAGTAACAAGTTTAGCTAATACTGGGGTTACAGTGTACACTCAAGTATAAAGTGTTAAAAATTGAGGAACTTACTAAGCAGTTAAAATAATACCTAATACCTACCTAGTATTAATATTTGTGTCGTAAAGGAAAGTTAAAATTTAATTTTCGACTTTTAACAGTTAAATCAATCAAATCAAGTATTATGTTCATTAATAGATTTTATGTTTGTAATTTAGGTTAAACCAGGCGAGATAATGGCCAAACGTCGGCCCATCAAATATATAAAAAGAATATTTATCATCGTTTCAATGAACACTGGGAAATGAACACCAAAGTACCTATTAATTTAACTCGTCGAGTACCGTATTTATAGACACAATTAAAGAACAATAGGTTGCGGTCACCGGTGACCGCTTGGTGTTTGACAGTTTAAATGCATAAATAGGTCCTAGCAAACATCAACAATGTCTTCATATATAAAATCACGTTTACATTACAATTACCATTTAAGTAAGCAAGACTGATTTAATAATTGATCACATTTAGGTAGTATCTGTAGATTTAATATCACTATTAGATAATTCAACACCTAATAAAGATTTTCACTAACACTTTTCTTTGTGATTGTATTTTAAGAGATTTAATTCAGTTCACACATTTCAAATACGTGTAAGTACAATGTCTACCTCTATTGTTCAAAATAAAACAGCATAACTGACACCGCTACCAAATACCCAGTCTTTTGTTTTAGTTACTAAATAGTTTAAGAACAGAGAGCACAAATGGAAGATATAATTTTTATCATAACTTTAGATCTGAGGAAGTACTACCTAATATTGGTAAGAAATTAATTTAGATCATAATTACCTACCTAAGTAAGTTGTCTAAATAAAGGTTTGCCTTGTCCGCGACAACAAAAAACAAAGGTAAGTTATGTCTGATAATAAGGTGCAGATACCTTAATTACCGAAATTAGTCTTTAGAAAAAAGTTAAAAACGTAAGTTTAGTTCTACATAATATCAGATCTTAATCTATAACTAATATCATTATTAGTAAAGCTTACAAAAAATCACTTCCCGCTTTCACGTAGGACTAATAAATCATAACTGGTGAAGTGGTGAAAAGTGAATAGTACACATCTTCGAATAATGAAAGGTGTGATGATTCATGTTATTTTTATTGAATGTTGCGAAATAAAATATATGTATTTGTATAATATTTTATAAATATTTGTTGTATAATGTATTAAGGGCTTGTTACTGCTTGGTACTGAAAATAATATCGGTTTGTTTAATTTAAAGGGCAACATTTTTTGTATCTGTATCTAGCAACACCAAATTTTGTTACTTAGCAACAGATTGTTGTTGATCAATATTAAAAAATGACAAATATTTATGGAAAAACTGGTTATTCTTGTGATTAAACTAAATATTTTTAATATATAACACATTTTGTTACAGATAAATGGGTTAATAATGGGTCTTTACAAGCTATTTAGTTATAATGTTGAAGTTCAATACATGAGTTGTTTTCTATCGAAAGCTACGCTTTTTACTCTAACTACTACAGTTTTGAATTTTATTTTACCTTTCATAATAGCTTACAGAGGCAGAGGTAAGAGTCAAGGCCTTCCATGATTTAGGTTCTTATCTAGATACTATCGTTGTTCTAACCAAAAATACTTCGACAACAGGATTTTGGCTCCGATCTCACACTTTTTATGAACAGCCAGTAGTACAATTTACGTACGAGTACTTACTGGTAGCGGAGACTGATGATCCCACTGTATCTATACAATGTGGTGCAACTAATGAAAGCTTCGGAGAATTTATGAGAAATGAAGAGAACTGTGTAGAGTTCCAGGTAACCTTTCATTTAAAACAATACGTAGTATAGTGTTCTCTGGATACGTACTTAAAATTATCAATTTTCAGGTTCAAGAATATGATGTCACTGGAGATAAACATAATGATGTGTTAGATTTTAAATTCTACATAAATGTGCCACAGGACAGGACAGTCACATCTCTAATTTTAATGTTAGGATTAAATTTTCAGCTAAAGGTATTTTCTTTATATAGATTTAATATAAAGTTATTTGTTTCACATTAACTAAACATTAAGAGTTACCTAAATATACTGAGAAAAGTTCTACTAGTTTTGAGTCACATACAGAGGGACTCTTCCTCATTGCATTCCGCAGTGAGCGTTTGCGCTGATGTCACACAGCCTTGTTTCTCATTGATTTTCTAACTCTCTCTAATTATTGTAAACTTTCTTTTCTTTTTAGTCAGTCTGTCTACTGCAAATGCAGAGTTTGGCATTAGTAAATAAGGAATTCACAACGCCACCTTCGGGATTTAAATATTTTGCTGATCTTGAGTTCTACCAAACAGCACATTTACCCTGCAAACACAACCTCATGCACACTAAATATAACAATTCTGTATTTAATTATGACAGAAAGAAACCTGGAAATACAATAGACTACATACTGGAGAAATACTATATGAGAGAAGGTAAGATTTACTCCCCAGTCAGTTAGGATGCAACCCTGTTCCTCAATACTACAATAGTTGGCTATCTATACCATCTTGCTATGACTATGACTGCTGGTGTTAAACAGAATTCTACAACTTGCTTGTCACCTCCTGTGATCGTGAATAACATTATAATAGAAAAATATTATGTAACTTGGTCCAACTTTATCTAAGTTATTGTACTGCTTCCAGTTACTACACACACAAAAGCACTGTATTCAAGAAGTCAGAATGGACATACTGGTTTAGTACAAATACAGGTTAGTGTAAGAGTGCCAGAAATGGAAGTAAAATACATTCCAAGTTTGATTCAAGAAATAAAATGGGCATGGCCACAATATCTGTCTTTGGTTGTAGTCTTCTATTGGATATTTAACAAAATTAAAAAGTTTGTGTTCAATAACCGGTTGGTTATGGCCTGGGAGATACTGCCCTGGAAGAAACAGCAAATAGTAACAAAAAAGAAATATTACTAGACAATAAAACAAATCACACCGTCAGAAAATAGAACAATGTAACAAACATAACATCACACCTTATTATCCCCTAAGGGCTATACCTTCGGGGATAATAAGGCACCTCTGCCTATGCATAGGTGCACATTACGGCACTTAATGCCACTATACATTGTAACACTAACTTTCCACTATGTAATGTAATGGTAACATGTCTTCCTGCTGCTACATAAATGAAAGTGTTGTGATTTTTATTGTTATTATTAATAATGAAAACAAACACTGCTTTCCATCCTTATCCAAGAAAATTTACATTTTTACTATCCAGTGTACCTACCTCAAATAATGAATTATAGATGAAAGTCCAAAATATCTCACCAAAAAATAAAAAGATTGATAAAAAAATTGTTATTTTATTTAGATTGCAATTACTACTTAAACTATATTTCTTTTTACAATTTACAAGGTTAAAGTATTTTATTCACTGATTTATGGTAAGAGCTGATAATGAACTGCTGAAACCTGTTTTCTTGTCCAGTTCTGCCCTATTATCTTCGATAATGAAGGTCTTGGCCGAATAGTCATCAAGTTGAACTAACAGGTAACGGCATAAATAATTGCCATATTCATTCTATAACAAAAAGAAAAGTAAGTTTTAATAAATTGAATAAGTTTATGATATTTCTTTAGTGTTTAAAGTAGCCTACCTGTTTCATATCAAGTTCAACGATGCCCTTGTTCCTAATTCCTTTGATATAAAATCTCATCCTCATGTGTTTGACTCCATCTTTTTCATACACAGCATGGCTTACATGAGTGCGCCTCCTCCTGGTTGTTTCTTCACCATAACCTTTATAGGAGCGCCTAAAGCATCTTCCACTCGAGGATCCTGAAAATATATATAAAATATTGATTTTTAATCGAACAATTTTTATCTAGTCGGTCACTACATATCATGGTTTTCTATAGTCGCAAAAGTAGTTAGCACTAACTAAACATTGTTCCATTTACATTGGAAATAAAAAGATAATTTTGATACTGATAGGTAGGTACTCACATTTTTACATTTTTCTAATGCCTCCGAGTAAATGCTGTTAGGGCTGTTACTAGAAAACAATTCCCGAAAGACATAATAAAATATGATACCAGTGACGCCAACTCCTACTAGAATGACTCCAGTGTATGTTGCAGTCTTAGTTGTTTCTTTGATTTTCTCTCCTAGAGGTCGGACGTCGGTAGACACATCGCCTCTCTCTTGACTTCTAGCCAAACCGCTTTCTTTTCGGGTTGAATAACAGCGGACATAGCTTATCTTTGTTGACTGTAATAATGCAGGAATACATTCAACCGTATAAGGGTTACGTAAAGCAGTACATAATTTTGATATTAAAGTCATATTTTAGCTCACAACAAGCAAATTAATTTTACAATAAAAGATCTCAACCTCAGGGAGGTTATCTTCGTTCGTATTTATTTTTATAAAGGTGACAGCTAATCAATAATGTCATTATCAGCTGATAACGATAACATTGTTTATTATTTGGAAATGGATTGTCTTACTATTAGTTTTACAGATTTACTCATAGTTTTGATGTCTAGGAACTTTCAAGACATATAGTTAATTTATTAACATAATAATTTAATTTTACGAAAAATACATTGATGACATATTTTACTATTTTAGAACGATAATCTATATGTCATTTTGATTCTGACAACTCTGTGAATGGTTTTACCTTGTTAAACATAACTGACTATCTTTTTCTCTTTCTTTTCAAGTTGATGATAAAAGAGATAACTCGTTATGAAACAAATATTTAAAGAAACCAGAAACGCGGTTCATTTTTATCGATCGATTTGCGTTGTATTGTAGCGCTAAGATAAATTATATATACTGCTTTAATAAAAATAGTTAAAATGTTAAATATTCATAAATATGAAGTTTGTGATTAATGTGATTCACTTACAATATCAGAGAATATTTACTTTATAGTTTGATATTGGCCGTCTTAAAATCACAAAACAATGGATTGGATAATTTCGGACGAATTAGGGCTTACTGTGGGCCATCTGGTAGGTTGGGTAGCAGCTGGTGCTATGATAGTAGGTGGCGTCGCCCCTTACATCCCACAGTACTGGCAAATCAAGAGAACACAAGACGCTGAAGGATTCTCTTTATACGTGTGTTTAACTCTACTAATAGCAAATACATTGAGGATATTGTTTTGGTATGTATAAAACATTCACCCATATTAATTAACCCGATTCTGTCCACATTAACCACAACCCGTTATCTCTTGCATTGTAACTAAAATAGCATATAATTTTTTTTATGACCATTTCATTGGCATAAACATCTTTATAGCCAATTTACAAACATTACAGTTATTTGAAACATGAATTGCATAATTATTTGAAGTACTAAATGGTCTAAGATTGCTGTGTTACATCATGTTTGTATCAGGTCCTTGTAGAACAATCACTGTTATGTTGTCTCCTTAGCAATACAGCTCTATCGCAATATTTTTATTTATCAAGAAAACCACACAACTTTGATATTCCCTTTAATAATATGTAGATGCCTATCTATGTTTTACTCAATTAAAAAAAAAGAAATATCAGATAATTTTTATCAGTAAACTCACTGTGATTCATTGATACTACGCATGACTCAGCGATATTGTAAAATGTTTTAACTTGTATCCATTTTTTACAGGTTTGGTAAACGCTATGAGACTCCTCTATTAATCCAAAGTATAGTAATGAATGTCACAATGTTTGTGATGATACACCTCTGTGTCAATGTACGAAAAAAGAACCAAATTATTAGAGCTAGAGAGAGAATATTTACAGGTTGGTATAAATGACTCTTACCAATGAATATGGTTTTATTTTTCAATATTAGAAGTCACAAATTAACATAGCACTGTAAAAATATATGTATTAAATATTATTTATTGCTAATAAAACACATTTCTTTAGAAATCCTGTAGTTAAACAAAGTATATTTTAACATTATTAGATTTTCTTTCTTGTGTATTTATTGCTTCTTATATTATTTCTCCTCAATCATATCAATGATATGAGCAACATTTGGTAACCCACTAACTTCCTTCCATTTTATTTGCTATAATTAATTTTATTTTAACATTATTTTATGGTATTTTTTCTTTTTTCTTTTTTTCTGTTTGGTGGTTGGTGTGATTGATGGTGAAATTAGGTGCAATATTCATGTTATATATACTGTTGTGTTGTGTAAACGGCTCAGACCAGCCGGATCAAACTGCACGCTGGCTGAATCAGCGCAGCAGCATCAGTGGTGGGGAGAAGCCACATCGCTTCTATGGTGAGTGCCAGCTCTCTCCTTCATGTCATAAGGATTGCTGCAGTTTGTCTCATGTGCAAGTCATCATTATAGTTTTTGTTTCAGCAACCCCATGCTTTGACAATATTATGTGCAGTTTGTCACATGATATGGGATCTTTAATTTTTGTTTTACATTTTCATATTTTTATTTGCTTTATTATTTTCTGTTGCATGTCTTCAATGTTGGATTATATAGAAAATTATGGTGGAGGTTTAAGTAATAAATAGTTGTTGTGTTTGTAGCATTCATGGTAACTTTTTATCATTGTGTCATGGTTGTGTATTACAATTGATATATTTTGGTATTTAAGCTACAGTACATATGTATTATGTATCTAACCTCGGTTCAATGCTCTTGTAATTATACGAGTTATTTGGTATCTAAGGAGTCACGAATGGGTCAATTTTGTGTCAGATATCTTATCTGTTTATTGATGTCATTTGCTTCGGCATGATTTCCTACTTCATTGTAAGCATTGTGGTATCTATAATTATATCTACATATGTAATAACAAATTACACAACTAACAAGATAGAATTGTACAGTTTGCATTATTAATACTATGGTGTGGTTGAAATTATACATTATTTTGGCCTGGCACATACCTACTGTATTATTTATAAAAAATGCATGTAACTTCTACAAATATCTTTGTACTAAAATCAAGAACGTTATTTTAATTGGAATGACAAAAAATACATGAATCTTTACCCCAAAACAATAAGTGGTGCACCTTCTTACCTACTTCATCCACCCATTTTACGCCAGTTATTTTATTTCCCATTGCTTTTACGTCAAGTGAGTAAATTTCAGTCCCATACTTAATCCTGCACAAATCCAACAATAGTTTGCTCAACTGGGAAATCAAACCGGATACTTGCAATATTAGTAATCCACTTTCATAGTTGTAGTTGTAACTATCATCTGTAAACCTATCATAAGTAACTAGGAACACTATTTAATTTCATTCCATGTGCCAGACTATCCATTCGTAAAATTATCGTCACACTGATAACTATGGTGTATCTATTGCAGATATGGAAAGGAAGTACTTCTGGGCCTGGACAGACTTCCAAAGCTATATAGACTGTATGCTGGTGTTCTCGGTACTAGGAGGAGCGTTAACGTACCTGCTAATAGAGTTCTCACCATTCGTGGAACTTATTGGGTTTCTCGCTCTATTCACCGAGGCCATGCTTGGTGCACCTCAGATAGCCAGAAATCATAAGAATAAAAGTACTGAGGGCATGAGGTAAGTTGTATATTTTAATATTGATATTTAATCTGAGTAGGCAACCTACTTTTTTACTCTATTTAAGTTAGACATAAATACTCTATAACACCTATGTTTACGTATACAATTTATGTATACAACCAAGCCATGTTCTTTGTAAGAAATTGTTTTACATGGTTTGAGGGCGATGCGTTCGTAAAACACCCGACACAACAAAATCCGGATGCCAAGAATCCGACCTTAAACTAAACATCTGGAGATGGAGACCTTATCCTCATGAGGTATCAATTGATTATGCGAAGTTAACGATATTTGTTTACTTTTCAGTGTTAGCATGGTGATAATGTGGACGTGTGGTGATTTGTTCAAGACTGCATACTTCGTATTAAGAAAAGCGCCTCCTCAGTTTTGGTTGTGTGGGGGCCTTCAAGTCTCATTAGATATCGTAATACTCTCTCAAGTGAGTGCCAATACATTTTACAATCCTAAATCGTCTTAAAACACCATCTCCGGTAATCTCCAGAAACTGCGCCACAGTTTGTTTTCTTTCAATAAATATTTGTAATTCGCCAACCTTGTGGAATGTGGATACTTACACTGACGCAATATACAGCTGTACCTACTCCGAAAGTTTACAGGAGAAATAACTCTTGCACAACGAATATTCTACCGATTTTGGAATATAATTTAAATTAAATAGCTTATTTCCGTGAAGCAAGCACAGGGTCTTTGGTGACGTTGCCGCCTTAGATGATGTTCCGACGTGGCTCGTAAGGGCTAACTAGCCGTAATACCGACGGTTGGCTTACAGATGGTCAGGTGATGACACTCTGACGATATCGGTTCGCATGTGGGAGCCCAGCCTTCCGATATTCAGTCCTCGCTTTAGCAACGGGTTACCTACCTGTAAAGGGTGAGTGACGTACGAATCGGGATCGGCGAACATTAGAAATTCCACCTTTATGCAAATAATGTAGCCGGCGGGTTTTTGAATGTCATCTAAACGCTTTTGTGCTGCTTGCTTTTGTTTGGCAAATATTGGTTTTTAGGTTTTGTTTTGTTTCTTTAATTAATACCTACTACCTTAATGGTGCATGCACTTTCTGAACGTTACCTGTAGTAAATTCTCCTGTGTAGCGAGTGCGTCTGTAATAAAATCTATCACACACAAACTATTGGACCGGAGAACGCAACTGTCATGTAGGGCATTCAAATTTAATTTCCGGGAGCAAATCTGTGACGCAGACACCAGATGCTAAAGCTGTGCAATCCGTACGGTAGAATGTTTTGACGAACTATTGTGCATGACTGTTACATGCCACCTACATTCTCATTATCTTAGGGTATCGTCCCAATCAAAGCAAGTAATCATGTTCATCTAGAATAAAATTTAATGAAGGGAACCGGTTATCAGATGTCAATCAGTGTACCTATACAAATTATTTTCTATAAGCACAATCAGTGCAACAGTCATTCTTACTTACCTACCAAGTACTTACCTATCTATCATCAATGTCCCTGTATACTATTATAGTAGTAAAATTATAGGTACCTAAACCTATTAATCACTGATTTTCCGGCCACTGCAGATTTTAACATTAATGTGAATACAGCACTTGAATCGAACGAACTTAAATTATGCTGCAGTCTAGTTACGATAACGACACCTAGTGTGACACGCGACCAGATGATCTATATGCAAAACACGTCATTCAGTTCCTCACGCTTCGATAAACATACACTCTAGTGACGTCTAGATACTCGATCGAAATTAGATTTTAATGTAAAAGTGATGGCAACTAAAATAACCACTGCAATGGAAACTGTCACACAATAAAGTGACAGAAATCGTTTAGCCCAGTACCGTACACATCACGATGGCTATTAAAGTTTGCATAATTTTCTTGTTGTGATGCTAGTTGTTATTTTGCAGGTGTGGTGGTACCGCCACAACACCGCGGCGGCCAGACGGGTGCGTCGGGGCGACTAGCAATGGACAGAGACCGACTTATAGCACCAGCCGGCCGAGGCCCGGCCGTCCAACGCGATCAGGACGTCCGTCGCCTCCATCGCCTTCTGTGCCCCTTACTCGGTACTCTGCCTTCCCTACATATTATGACGATAATCTCCATAATATTATCACGGGTTGTGTGAAAGTACTCTCCAACTGAAAGTTGATATTAAACCCAAGCGATGACCAAAATACATGGTGCGAACTGATATTGGACATTTTAACGAAAACTGTTAATCGAATTAGACATTTATTACGTTCTAGTGGTTGCAATAATTCCTTAGGTAGACGGTGCTATAGGTTTGTGCCTAAATTCAACGAGGGTCATGAAAGAAGTTCTAATGATGATGATTTATTGTTTTTATAATGGTGAAATAGTCATCGATATCGATAGTAGGTATATACAATTAGAGTGACCAAAATGTTTTCCTTGTCTTTGTAAGGTGATAAACTAGTCCTAACGATTAGACACATTGTAAGTCTAAAAATGCTTGGTAGGTTTTAAATATTAATAGTAATTTGGATAGCCAAATGCAAAAGATACAAGAGTAAATAAAATTGTCATAATTTACACGCAATATTAGTACAAGCAAGCATTTTTAGTGTAGCAAGACGGGTTGTTGATGACAGCAATAATTGTCAAGAGTGTTGCTTATATTAAAGTACAATACATGTTATATTTTAAATACCTACGACTTTATGTATAGCATCTATATAATTTTATTACATTCGTTAACAAAGTGAGATGTGTGCCCCAACAAAGATACTACAAAGGGCATATATAGACCTAAATATTATGTACATTGGAATTTGTAAATATTTGTTTATGATAAGACGTCAAATAATGTACTGTGCATAGTGATGCAAGTTATAGAGTACAATAAAGTTTAGATTCTAACTTCCGTAAAAATGCCAATTTAGATAAAAATACATAAATATACAAGAGATATTATTGTGATATATTTATCTTATAACAATTTATTAATGCATCCCCAAGGAACCAACATTTTTAATATACTTAGTTTGATTTCACGTTTTATCTTTATTTGGGGACGGGCGTATTTTGCAGTGGAACTATTTAGTAAACGCGATTTTCGTAATAGTAAGTCTACTGTTTCTGCTTTTATAACGAGGTATCACGAAATATTTACATTCCTCGATATTTTATTCCATTTACCTTTTTGGTATGTGTACACGAATACATTTGTGAAGTATATAATTCCGAGTTTTTTTCTAAAAACACGTTCCAATATCTTCTGATAGTGCTTCTACATAACTATTTTGTAACGTATAAATTAGCTATGACTGTAAAATTTCTTCCTATATCATGTTAAGTGTTAGTTAACATTTTTTGGCTTTCGATGTGTTTTTTAATATTCCAACTTTAAATTTTATTATAAAAAAATAGATTCTAATATCTGCACAGACCAGTAAGTGCACTCACTTTAATAAAATTTTTAAAAAAACGTGACTAGTGTACAATCTCTTTTGTGAATACTATGTACTGAATAATTATTTTTTCATATGTACCTTATATTTCGAGGGTTGTATCGTGTAATTAATGGATTGTTTAATAATTAAATTTCATATTTTAGTATTTAAAGTCATGTTAAATTATGCTATGGTTACTTTCAAAGCGTTGTTACACATTCATCTAACTTTATTGCAACTCATTATAACTTTTCTTCATTTCTTAATAAAGTATAAAATATAAAGTATTATTGTCGATGCTTGTATTAGTTTTAATAGTCATCTATCACCACTGTGTACAAATTGTAGTATTTTTAGTACCATTACGTTATTGTGAATGTATAAATTATAAACTATAAATCCTAAATATTGCGTAGATTAGATAAATATTTAAAGGGTGCTGTTTTACTAAAACTATTCATGCATGTCTCTTGTAAATCCATTAGTCTAATGATAGATAGATTTATTATAAAAAAAAACATTTAATTAATCACAATTTACCTCAAAAGCATTAGTGAGCCTGTCTTCTAAACATTCGATATAGTTGAGGATCCCTTCTGAAGTCAGGTGGGAGCCATCCAAAGCGTAAGAGAAAGTTGATTCTGCGTGTACCTAAAAACTTATGCCTATGTTTTCTTCGGCATTTTTTTAAAGTACACTTTAAAACAAGTATAGTCAAAATATAGTGTATGAAAAGTATCACATTTTCAAAAAAATAAGCTTACAGTGATATTAGACGCAGTACTTTGTCATATATATAAAGTGCATACTTATTGCAAACATTTGAATTCAACAATTTGTAATGATTTTAATGGAACATGCTACTTCTATTGTGTGTTAGATATATCAAGTTAACAGTAATAATTAGCAATATTTCACGAGGAATTGATTCAGCAAATAACAAAACCACGTTACATAGGATGTTTTTGTACAATAGACAAAGTACATACGAAGTTGTAAATAATATTATATATTTATATTGATTAGTTACTAAGAGCTACAGAATGCAGACTCTTGTAGTCTGTTAGTTTATTCAGGTTCGCGTCGAACTAAGTAAGATGTGTACTTTATGGATAATAATTCCGCCACACATGTCTGTTGTCTGGTGGCGGTGGGCCTCCAAGTAATGCTTCCGCCAGTTGTTGAAATATACGTATAATTATTTTTATACATAAACTCGACATATTTGATTCTTTTTGTGTAGACAGAACAGTATAAATGAAGGTATAAAAGTAACTATGATATTCATACATACAAGTCGAGAGATAGTAGACGTGAAGGAACATATCATATTTATATTGATATACATGTTATTATTTCTGTTGTATGAATATATAAATGTATTTGTATTTGTCAATTAATATTAAGTATGTAAATGAATGAAATTGAAGTAACCATCGTATGTTGTGATGACAAAATGTACATGGATATGTTGTGATTTTATGAGTTACATTTTCTTAAATGAAATAAAGTTATATTATTTGTTAAAACTCTTCGTTTCTTTTGCTAGAACCACTCTACAAACTTTCTAAGTATTTGTTTGTTGACAGCATCGATTAATTTATAGTTACCCAATTTATCAAGTATGAAATCTGAAATGATCTTTGTATAACGATAAATTTCGTCCACCAAAGTGTAAACAGATTAAGTGATTGGGTAACATGGTATTACGAGCACTCGGTAGTGGAAATAAAGCTGTGCAATCATCATAACAGGGCTCGCACGTCATCGAGTGGTTGCCACCGGTAGCAAGCTGGCGGGCAGTATGCGGGCAGTCGGGGAAATTGGAACTCTATGTCGAAGGGGGAAGAGCGTACCGGAGTGTAGGGATGTGGTGTGTGAAGGGTGGATCGATGGGAGCGGGAGGTTGTAGCGTGCGGGCGTGCGCCCCCTGGCGGCGCGGGGCGGCGGCGGCCGGCGCGCAGTGTGCGGGCAGCCGGGCGCCGCGCGCCTGTGTACCGACTCCGAGCTCCGCTCCGGCCGCAGCCTCCCGCACTCCAGGTGAGCACTCTGCACCACTTCATCTTAACGTCAACCTCCCCACTCAACATACTCCCACTACTACGTACTCAAACATCATTCATTACCATGTTAATTTAAGTTAACTTGTTCAATGTGTATATGTATTTTCCTTGCTTTCAGACAATGTCTTTCATAAATATATTTTTGTTTTACGTATATGTGTTTTTAACAGTTAAGTAAATCTTTGTTTCTATGTAACGTTGTAGCTGAAGTAATGTTTTCTAGGTAAATGAATACGTGCTGGTGACAGCACAGTTTTAAAGCTCCTGGGAAAACACAGACGTTCATAATGAGCTTACACTTACACTAGTAGATCATACGGAGAGCCGGGGAGGCTGTCGCCCGCACTTAGTAAATATAACATTGCGGGTGAAATCTCAAACGGTCTAATTAAAACGCTACTCAGTTTCCAAGCCCTTATACCTACTTCAACTTAATTAGTGGGTAATTATTTTAAGGAAGAAAGTTGAAAGGCCTGTAAATATTTTAGCGATCTTGTAACTAAGTAAGAGCCTTCGTTTCTGCGTATTTATTTCTATCGGGGTACTTGAACGATTCAACTTTCTAGAGTTCGTAAGCCTCTACAAATCGCGATAAGTAGGTTTATTTCGTTCCCCGCGCCCAATTTATTTATTGTTAGCAGTAACCATGGGGAGTTTGAGTTGTTTCACGCGGCGATGATAAGATAACAAACAGTTTTTTGAAAGGGTTTTATATTCTTTGACGAATTGATTTTGATATGTCTAGTTAATATAGTACGACATATATTCCTCTACTCATATGAGTCCATTAGGCTATTCTAGACACGTAGTTAGATACTGAATATGCTTATTGATTGTGGTACAGGTGTCGGTAGTCGTCGGTAGCAAATGTCACTGCGTGTAGTGTTATATAAATACTTTTCTATATGATGAGAAATAAATTATTGTTTATTGAATTTAATATTATAACGTATACGTACTCACTTTTTAAATAAATTTTATAACTGAACTTCAACGTTCATGCGAGCCAATGATTTATTTATTCACTTCATCAATTTTATCGACAATTTATTTAATTAAATTGCTCTTTAAACACTATTACCGAGTTATCGGTGTACCTAGGTAGGAAATAAAGAAAATAGAATTAACACAGCGGAAGTTACGAACAAACTTAATAGTTTATTGTGGGATATCTATCTATAGGTATGTCCAGTAGTACCTAATAAAAAGTTAGGCCTATGGCAATAGTCCCCTACAGTCCGACATACCTAATTCAATAGCTGAAGTTGAATGAACACAAATTATCCTTTTTATAGTTTATTACTTTAGTCACCTTTATTTACGTAACTTTAAGTTACGGTTACTTTACTGACGACCTTAGGTACTAATACAAAACTAAGTTAAAAATAAATATTATTTATGTAAAACTCGATAATTTTATAGCAATAGTTACCAGTACCTAGGTAACTGAATGGAAAAATTTTAACTGTTTTAGGTACTTAATAA